TTTTTAAAGTTTATTTATAGATACATAAATTTTTGTTCATTGCATTTGAAACATCAATCTTTGTTAATTAAATTTGAAACAAAAGAAAACTACGATAGCGTATTTCTAAATACCGGGTATTTTCATTAAAATATTACATCACAAGTATATTTTACCTTAACTGTGACTAAATGAATATATTCTCAAAAATAAATATGGAAATGTAATAATTTTGCTGAAATTACGTACATATTGCAGTAGAAAGTGGGATAAAATCATGATGAAAACAATGACTTGCGCTTTCTTTCGTTGTTCAAAAGATTTTACCGTAATCGCTTTTCGAATGGTTTTCAGTTAAAAAACTGTTGTATACAATAATATTCCCTCCTAATGGACTTGAATAAATACTACCCGCGTTTCAGTGTAAAGTGTCGTAATAATAAATGGTAAACAATTTGCCTTCGGCACTCGGTGTTTCAGGCACGGCGAGCCTCAGTTTATAGGACATAGTGTTTTTACTGAAGGTTTTGTTGTTCGAATACCCTCAAAAACTTGGGTCGACCTATAATCAAGGAATATCGTATTTTAACGATTTTTGGGTAAAAAAATCAGGGTCGACCTATAAATGAGGGAGGGTTATAGACTAGTCCATACCAAATTTATGGTTCTGGGATTGTCCAATAGATGGGTCACGCGGCGGCCTTGTGCGCGCGTGAGTCGCGCCAGTCATTGTTGACCTAGCGCCATATTCGTGTATCAGTGTTGTGATGCCCTGCAATTATCGTTGATATTTCAGTGATTAGGCATCCTTCAGCCTTGTATTTTACATCATGTCTTCAAGTGGGAGTAAAATGCCGAAGAGGAAGTATGTGACCCTTTCTGTGAACCAGAAACTGGAACTTATAAGGAAGTTAGAGGCTGGTGCTTGGGTGTCTAGAGTTTGTGACGAGTATGGTGTTAAAAAGCAAACAGTTTCGGACATACGCAAGGCTAAGGACAAACTCATTGCATTTTCTTTGAAATATAATGTTGATGCAACTTCTAAATCATCATCTGTTGGTGCAAGGAAGAGTATGAGAGTGGCAAAAGATACAAATTTTGAGGTGGCAGTGACGAAGTGGTTTGTGCAGCAACGATCCTGTGGTAATGTCGTCCGTGGTGTAGAAATACAAGCTGCTGCTGTTAAGCTAGCAAGTCATATGGGCATCGAGAATTTCGAAGCTAGTGACGGGTGGTTATGGCGATTTAGAAATCGCCATGGAATGTGTCATCTACCAAAGGTAAATGAAATTAACATATTGCATTGTTTTATAAAGCTAGTAATATGTTTACAGTACAGTATTTCCTGTATTTTTGTTACTGTGTATCATGTCCAGCGTAGTGTATATACGGTACAATATTTCCTAACCTAACCTAACCTAAATCGGTTAATTCGGACAATCGGCTAAAACGGACACCTTCCCCCCCCCTATTAGTCCGAATTAACGAGGGTCGACTGTAGTTGGTAGAGATATTTGGAGCCAGATGACATCATAAAGTCGAGCTATAGGTGTACTGTACATGTGTTGCAGTAGGCGCATACACCTCCATTAGAACACAAAAAGGTACAGGTATACCGTATAAAGGTTTATGTTAAAGACTTGAAATGGTTTGGGTGATGCCTATAGGTGGCTAGAGCAAACCATATCAACTGTGGCCTTGAATGATGGTGGGAAAATTGATGTGCAGAGTAGTTCAGGGAGTAAATTCCAGGGGGGAGGACACCTGCCCAAGTTACCCCTTATTTGAGGCTGAATGCAAGGGAATGAAAAGGTGTTCAGTTTGATCATAATATACATATCAACACTGCCAGCTAATAGAGGCTCAGACTTACAGACTTCCTTCCAGGTTTCCCTACAGTTCAGTGCCACCTCACTATCAGTCAATCAGAGAACCGTTTACATATCTGAGGGTTGGCGACCACAGTACTGTACTCCATTCTAAATGTTCTGGGCTGTTTTTACCAATCTTCCAAGGCTCTGTATCTCTCTGGGGACTCAGTTTTTTATTTCATTCAACCATCCCAGTCTCTGCCTTCCCCTGGCCCTGTTACCCTCAGCTTTGCCCATTAGTATTTCTCTTCCATTATCCCCTCATTCCTAATTATATTATCAA